ACTTCCGTTGACCTTAGGGTTTTGGTCAACTGTGGATTTTGGAGGCCATGGAGGGGCGGAGATTTGACCAGCAGCTCGAGTGTGGGATACGTTGCTTTACTCTGCGAGGTGAGTTTTCTCACTATACTTACCTTGAGTGGTAATTTGTGTGACCGGAGGGTCTTGTATGCTATTATATTGAGTATTGAGATATTATGCATTATGTCTTTGTGATTTATGCGGTATGTTGTTCTGTGCTTCTATTGAGTTAGGATCGGAGGGTCCAAACCGAGTTGTGAGACCGGGGGGTCCTCACTGAGATACCAGGACTGGAGGGTCCGACCCGAGCTGTGGGACCGGAGGGTCTTCACTGAGACACATGACCAGAGGGTCCTTATCGAGACATAGCCATGAGAGGCTAAGTATTTGTGTGTGTGTGTGTGGTATTTGGGAGAACTCACTAAGCTTCGTGCTTACTGTGTTGTGTAATATGTGTTTCAGGTACTTCTGTAGATTTCGGGAAGGCGAAGGCTCGATTGTACACACCTGTTCGAGATTATGAAAGAGGATTCTGGGATATTATCAGTTATTTCATTGAGTTGTATTTTGATAATTGATACATGGTGGTTTTTAAGAAAATGTGATATTGAGTTTTAGGTGATTTAACAACGAAAATTTTATTTCAAAATTTACAGTGTTACAAAGTTATATCAAGCGTGTTTTTTCTAAAAAAAATAGTACATGTTGGACTCAGACAAAAAACATACTTTGAAATCCGAAGAACAAGTCTTAAAGTTTGAGAAAATTGTAGTTTTTTTTTCTACCGAAAGTTAGCAGAAGGTTAAAGAAACATAGAGAAAATGAAGTATATTATGATAAAAAGACATAAAAAAACGTCATTTAGTTGAACATTGATGAAACTAAGTATTCATATTTAAAGGGTAGAGATTTTTTTTGTGCAAATTAGACATTTCATCATTTTGTTGTGTACTAAAAATCCTCTTAAATACTTTTCAATCCCAAAGCTAGTTGAAGTTCTTATTTGATTTTGAATTGTTTGTAGAGTTTTATTTTTGTTGTTGGCTTTTGGCTATTTCCTGGTGTGGGATAAACATGGCACTAAATGAGGAATATATATGTAATTTTTTTTAGTTTCATGACAAATATATTCATCCAACGACCAACCAGCATTGGAATTACTTTTTTCAATGTTAGATAGCCTAAGAAAATATTCTATCAGTTACCCATGAGGAGATAGATTCATATCATTAACAATAGGAAGTACGTTGTGGTAATTATTATCCTTACATGTAGCAACATCATCATAATCTGCATACTTATAATTTTATGGAGAATCATATGGAATAAGATCTACTAGTCTGTCATATATAGTTTGTTCTGGAAAAGTATAAGAGATAAAAAAAAAATACATTCTTAATTTTTGCTTCAGAAAAGTGATAGACTTCTACTAGGCTCCGTTCTACTAGATCCGTATCCACCATATTCTTTTTCACTAGACGAGTTTCCACTAACAATTGATCAATTCAATATAGTAGATATATGTACAGGGACACCCACATCATCTACCAAAGGTTGATGTACATCATTTTTTTTACTGTGAACAACATTTACCACGTGTTTGGCATCACTCTCATTAAATATCTTTATGACATAACGCAAATCAGGATGTTTGAAAGACAAACTAATACTAGAACTATCTTCCAAACCTAACTTTATTAAAACAAAATGTAACAACCTAGCAATGTGTACATATACGGACAATTATGCATCACAGGTCTTTAATATGTGTCTTAATATTGAGTTTCACCCTTTATTATCCCACACAACCTTCTTACAAACAATGTCGTTCAATAAACTCATTCTTGTGAGAAGAAAAAAAATGTTGACAACTGATTACATGTATCCCTAAAAAGAACAGTTTATAGAATTTCGCATAAAAGTTTTGATAGGGATCATTCTTAGTACATAACTCAGATTTCGCAGTATATATGTCAAATTTTGCAGTAAAAAGGTCAGATTTCACAATAGGTCGGTGGTTAGGTTTTAAAGTGTGAAGACAAATTTAACAGTGAAATGTAGAGATTTCAAAGGTGAGGTGTGAAATGCTAATAGAATGTCATTTTGAACATTTCACAATGAGACCCCATTGCGCAATGCCCCTACGAAATGGATGGGTTTTCAGAGAATCATGTATGTTTTACGCAATTTTTGTAATAAACTTACTTAGGTATTTTTAGATTTTTTCCTAAAATATTTATAAAAGCTAAATATGATACTAGAGAAAGATATCTAATTTAGCCAAAAACTTTAATGACTTTTTAAAAAAATAGACAAAAAAAAAAAAACGAATTTTCACAAACGAGCCAACCAAAATCACAGATGGCTAGGCCTCATCTGCGATTTGGTCATTCCATTTGCTGTTTGGTCCATTTCATCCGTGATTTGGTCCTTTCACTTTGTTATCTGGTCTCTTCCATTTGCTGTTTGCTCCCTTATATAAAAACATTTTTTAGAAATTGTTAACCAAATCGTAGATAGGTTTGCCCCACCTGTGATTTGTTTGGCATTTATCTACAGACTTGGATGTGAATTTTTTTTCCAAAAAAATACTTAGCTTTGACTATGAATTTGTTAAAGTTGACTACGAAATCTGATAGTGTTAACTATGAATTCGTACAAATTACTAAATTATATATAAAAATTAGCTAAAAAAATCTTTGATTATCAGTTATTTCTTTTGAATTCTCATTTTTTATGTTTGTACTAAAATGAGTTTTAATGAATATTTGGTTTGCATTGTAAGTAGTGGGAGGTGAGAGATAGTAGATAAAAATATATAGTATGTTTTGCCACAGGAAGGGATTTTTGAATTCGTGTTGATGTTTTCAAAATATATTAGTTTTCATGATTTTTTATATTTACTGAAAATGAAAACTGGTTTGTTAGATAAATATAAAATTAGTCTTTGCTTACATAACCATACTTGATGACATTAATGTTAGATTATTGATCAACAATTGTTTTTTTATTTTTGGATACAAACCGAAATTAAATCTGGTAATCAAACAAAACTCTTCATCTCTATAATACATTTTGTTATCTCCAACTTTAAAATGTAGTCTTTTTTAGCCATTTAAAGATATTACCACGTTTGGACATATATGATAAAGCAATATCTTATGGATTAGCAATCCGTTCTTTTGCGGTGGTTGGACATCCAATAAATAACCAAAAATTGTCCTCTGAAATATTTCATGCCGGACATCATTCAATCTACCAATCACTTCCTATAGTTTATTGTTTGATCCTTTGATATTAATAACCGCTTTAAAATTTTGATCGGAGTGCTAAAAGAAAACAAGTGGTTACGTGTATATAAAATATTTGACAAAAAATCACTTGAAAACTAGTAAAATAAATACAAATTATGCCGAAAATAAAAAACAAAGCGCTATAAGTCGTAAATTGTAATTAAGGTGGGAAAAAATAAGCAATAAATAATCGAAGGTATAAGCTTCTGATGCACAAATCACAATAACTTATGCATCAACAGCTTGTACCTTCTCAGATGAAGGTATATCTACAAACATACAACCAAACGATGCACGACTTCTACATAAACAACTTGTACATTCTCATCTGAACATATATTTGTGAATGTACAAGCCATGATGCACGGTTTACGCATCAGATACGTTTACGGTCGTAGATTTGTGATTTGCTTGCCATCCCAACTATGAAATGCTTTTAAAATTGTATGTCTAGCTATGAAATACTCTCAATGCCAATAGATCTAAGATTTTCTCTAACAAAAATCATATATTTTCGTTTTCTACAAATAAATCATAAATAAATATATTATAAATTGTATAAAAGCTAATAAATGATTATTAAAACAATAAATAAGCATGGATCTTATCATGTTTTCAGGAGAGTACATATTTACATCCATAAGATTCATAGAATTTCTGCCGACCGAAAACTAAAAAATGAGGATTTGAAAAAATTTAGAGTTTATATACTCATGTACCAAAATAGCATATGACCAATGTTTTAAAAACCGGTTTGAACCGGAAACCGGGAGAGGGAGTGGTTCAACTATCACCGGTTTTACATTGATTTCTGAACCGAATTGAACCGGTCGGGGTTTTTAGAAAAAACCGGTTGAACCGGTCAAAATAAACCGGTTGAACCGGTTAAACCGAATAAAAACACATGAAAAAGAACATTTACATATTAAACTTTGGTGATTTTTTTCAAATCTATTTAGTTTTCTCTAAATAAAAACATATAGTAAATGTTATAAATTCTTTTGATGTGTTTGTATTCATCAAAAACTATATTTCGTTTCGGTATTATACTTTATTTTCTTTTTGACGTATATGGATTGATGTAAAACACTAAAACTTATGGTTATGTGTTATTTTAATGTATTTGGATTCATCTACAACTTATTTTTATGTGTATTTTTAATGTTTTGAACTTGTAAACATCAAATTCATAATTTCTATATGTATGTATGTGTAGGAAAATAGAAAAAAACATGAAAAATATAGAAACCGATTCACCCGGCGGTCGAACCAGTAAAACAGGTTGAACCGAAAACCGGTCACCATACCGGTTCAACTAAAAAACCGGTTTTTAAACATTACATATGACTCAAATCACAAATGGATCTGCCAAATCGTAGATAGGCCTATCCAAATCACATGTAGGGTGAGGAAATAGGGTGAAGCTTAATAACTCAAATTTTGTTGGCTATTTTACGAAAATTGCTAATTTTTGACTATTTAAAAAAAAATTAGTATATTTGGCTGATTTTATTGAAAGCCAAATATAAGTGTGGATAGTGTCATGTGTTGTTACTTGCGACACATCCCAGATTTTGGTAGCTCAAGCTCACGTATACATTGGGATTTGGAAATGCCTAAGTTGACCCAAGGCTTCATCTCTGCGTATACATTGAAGGAACGCTCGTTGACCATGGTTTCGAAATAGTTATGGCGTCTTCGTCTTCGTCTTCGTCTTCCTCCTCCTGCAAATTGAGCCTCAGGAAGTACGATGTTTTCTTGAGCTTCAGGGGTGAAGACACCCGCAAGACGTTTGTTGATCACATCTACTCTGCCCTGCACCAAAAAGGGATTGGAACTTTTCAGGATGGCGAGAAACTCGAGAGAGGAAAATCAATCCGTCCAGAACTCTTAAAAGCCATCGGAGAATCATCCATTGCGATCATCGTGTTCTCGAAAAACTACGCTTCTTCATCTTGGTGCTTGGATGAGCTTGTGGAGATTATAAAACAACACAAGGAAACAAATCAAATCGTTTATCCAGTGTTCTATGGCGTTGATCCATCGGAGGTGCGTAAGCAGGAAGGGTTATTTGGGGAAGGGTTCGCGATACACGAAGGGGGAAAGGTGGAAGTGTGGAGAGACGCTCTAGTGGAAGCAGCCAATTTATCTGGATGGGACACGAAGGCGATAGCCAATGGGTAAACTCCTTTTCATGCCCTAAAAACCATCAATAAGCATTGCAAATTCAAAATTAACCATGCTTTAGTTTCATGAATCGTTAAACACATCTCCATTCTCCAATCTTGCTGATTGTAGTTTCAAATTTGCAGTCATGAAGCAGAATGTGTAAAAGCAATTATAAAACACATACAAGGCTCCTTGTATCACAAATACTCGATTATTGAAGAGAAACTAATAGGAATCATACCTCGAGTGGAGAAGGTGAAGTCGTTACTAAGAATGGAATTGAGGGAAGTCCGCATGATAGGCATATGGGGAATGGGTGGTTCAGGTAAGACTACAATCGCCAGATATGTATTTAGGGAACTCTCACATCACTTTGACAACACAAGATTTGTAGTAAATGTTAGAGAAATTGCAGAAAAATCTGGTTTGCATTCTGTACAACAAGAGTTGCTCTTATCAATGGACAGAAACCTGGATATGCATCAAGGAACCCAAACAATAAGAAAAATGTTTTCCCGCCAAAAAGTTCTAATTGTTCTTGATGATGTAGATGAATTAAGTCAACTAGATGCATTAGCAGGAGATTGCACCTGGTTTGGTGAAGGAAGTCGGATTATTATAACAACAAGAAATGAGAGATTGTTATTGGCACATGGAATCAACGAAGATATATATAATGTTGACTTGTTGAATACTGATGAAGCTCTTCAACTCTTTAGTCTTTATGCATTCAGAATGAATACTCCCACAAAAGGCTATGAACAACATGCACATCTTGTTGTACAATATGCTGCGGGCCATCCTTTGACCCTTAAAGTTTTGGGTAATTCTTTACGTGGTAGAGACATGAAGAAATGGATAACAACAATGGATAGACTTAAAGAAATCCCAAAAACAGAAACTTTAGAGACATTGAAAGTAAGTTTTGATGCACTTGAAGATATCCAAAAGGAAATTTTTTTGGATATTGCTTGTTTCTTTAAAGGGTGGCATAGTGTGGAAGTATACAAAATACTTGATTGTTGTGGATTCGATACAGAAAAATGGGTAAGTGATTTAGTACAAAGAGCTCTTGTAAGTATTTCAAGTGAAAGGTTGGATATGCATGATATGATACAAGAAATGGGACAACATATTGTTCATGGAAAGAGTTATAAAGATCCCCAAAACCATAGCAGATTGTGGAAACCTCAACAAGTTTTGGATGTACTTGTATCAAATAAGGTATATAATCATTTATGTCATAATAATAATAATAATAATAATAATCATATATTAAACTGAATGCTGAAAATACAATTACTTAACAGGGAACCGAAGAAATTCAAGCCATAGTGGTGGAGGGTTTTCATAGTGCAGAATCTTTAAATTTTACTCTTGCGTTCAAGAACATGACAAATCTTAGACTGCTTCATTTGGATACCAAAGGAATGCATTTCATAGGACCTGAATATCTTCCAAGTTCATTGCAATATCTTAATTGGAAAAACTACACTGCAAATTCACTTCCATCAAGTTTTGGATCAGGGAATCTTGTTGGAATTCACATGCATTCCAGCAGTCTTGTGGAACTATGGAAAGGAGTGAAGGTACAATGACTAAAATACCCTTATCTATGTCTATAATGGTAATTGGTATATCATTGCACTTTTTTTGTTTTGAACAGCATCTACACAACCTGAAGTTCATTGATTGCCAAGAATCAAAGAAACTTACCAAAACACCAAACTTCACAGGGATCCCAAATCTTGAAAGATTGGAGCTTTCAGGTTGTAGCAGTTTGGTAAAGGTTCATGAGTCAATCGGGTGTCTAGAAAAGCTAAAAAGTCTGGATCTTAGCAATTGCTATGAACTTAAATCTTTCCCTTCTTATATCATGATGAAATCCCTTGAAACTCTCAGTCTCAGACACTGTAATAACTTAAGAAAATTCCCAGAAATCCAAGGAAAGATGGATAGATTATCACATATCTATTTACACCATACATCAATAGAACAACTTCCAGAATCAATTCTGAACATAACAAATCTATCTGTTCTTAGTCTTCTTGGATGTATCAACCTAACAAGTCTTCCAAATACTATTTCCATGTTACAAAGCCTGACATATCTTGATGTCAGACGTTGCATAAAACTTGCAACATTACCCAAAGATCTTGGAAACATAGCTTCTTTAGAGCATCTTCTTGTGTCCACTGTTACTCAACTACCATCTTCCATCATCAACCTTAAAAACCTTAAAACCTTCTCTGCTGTAGAACCACCATCTTCCATTCCTCAGAAAAAAGGATTCCTTGATTGGTTCTTTGAACATAAAAACTCAAAAAAGAATAGTAATCTGTCTAGACACTCATTGTATCAGTTTTTACCTTCTTTATCGAGTTTGACTTCCTTGAAAGAATTAGGGCTCTGTAATTTACATGAAGGAATGACTCTACCAGTTGATATTGGCACTCTGTCATCACTAGAGTACTTAATCTTATGTGACAACCAATTTACTAAATTACCCTTTAGCATCTCCCAACTCTCTGTCCTCAAAAGGCTAGATGTGTCAAACTGCCCGAGGCTTGAAGAACTGCCCGAGCTTCCACCTACTCTTGCCCTACTTTTTGCCAACAATTGTAAATCTTTAAGGACCATAACCAGTCTCTCATCAACCTTGCGACAGGTGTCATTTCTTGGTTGCAGGAGATTGGAAGATCAACATACAGTGCTAAATAAAGCACTTCAGGTTGCTATTTTTATTATCAGAATCTGTGTTTATAACTTTTTCAAACATTAATAAAGTTTAATTTCTTTATCAACAGGGATACAATGTTGTGAAGCACCAGACTAGTGTTCTCCTTCCTGGAATTGAAATCCCAAATTGGTTTCAAAGTGAGAGGACTGGAATTGGGAAGACAGTAATTGAGTTACCTGGGAATTGGAACAATGTAATCACAGGGATTTCAGTATGTGTTGTTGCAGACTTGATGGGGCTAACTAGGCCTATCAGTTTGACTTTGTCAACAAAGCAGATTCCTTTCACAAACAGGAATGGCATGTGTCATTCCGATAGATTACATTTGTGGATGGAGTATGTGTCATTTGATCTTCTTCAATGCTCATATGAGGGGATTCTTCAGGATGATTGGATTACAACCACTCCAGGTCTTATCTTGACTGTTTCAACAGAGACTAGTGGTGTAAAGATATGTGGGGTCCGTTTTGTTTACAAAGATGTTAATTTGGAAGAAATGAGTAGTGTGGATAGCTGTGTTATGAAGAAAGAATCAAAGTTTTTAAGATGTTTTAAAGAGATGGAATTTGATGGTGTAACTTACAGTTTGCAGCCTGGAGTAAAATATGTCTGTGATGGAGATGCAACATTTGACAGGTTGTCATGGAATGAGAAGCATGAATGTTATAGATCAGGTAGATCATTGATCAAAGTAGGAATGAATATTCTTGATTAAAATTATGAAGGGGGTAAGGTGGAAGTAACCTACTTCCCTTTTATTAACGTCAAATTTGCCTTTACATAACTTGCTACTCTTTTTTTATACGCAACTCAAACAAGAAACTAACTTAAATGGTGTGGCTTTCAGTCTCCCAACTAAATAACTGGTCATTTATGTTGGTGTATCCCACATTTGTGCGATTAAGTCTTATAAACGGGTAGATATAGTCTTCTATTTTTATATAAAAACTCTTTTGGAGAGGTAGTTTTGGACTCTACATATATCTTTTATGTCTTACAATATATGTTAGTATTCGTGTGATTTGATCAAGAACTTAGGTTGGGATCTTGATGGAGGCATGTGATTTGATCAAGAACTTAGGTTGGGATCTTGATGGAGGCATTAAACCATTGACGTATCCATAAAATTACAAATAATACAATTACGAGGCTTAATAACTAATTAGAATGAAGTAAATATTGTCAACTACATATTGATTGATAAAGTGAGAGTCAATCTCAATATGCCTCATAAGCTCATGGAATACATCATTGTGAGCAATATGAATAACATAGTGATATAGGAAGAGCCGGAAGAACCCCATGTCGGCTCAAAGCCAATGAATCCAAACGAATTATAGAATTGTACCAACTAGAGCAAGCTATTCGGCTTCAATACTCAAGCCACTTGTAAGAGATTGTTTCTCACTTCTTCGGGATATAAGGGAACCCCCCAAAAGAAACAATTGCCAATGGTAGATCTTTTAGGGTTTAGGCTTTAGGTCATCATCCAAATCCAAGTCTATATGGAAGAAGGAGAGATGAGTTAGACTAAAAATGAAGCCCATGGAACATTGAAACCTTGATGTAATGAAAAATCCTGAGGATTCAGAGCAAGGAGCGGCCATAACCGGCCAACCGTGTGAATGACATATGTAAGGTCAGGGTGTGATTATGAGATAAAGTAGTTAACTAACTAACTGTGACATAAAGTAGTTAACTAATTAACCGATGGTAATGAGTAGGATCACTAAGATCGCTTAAATAGCTCCATATATATTTTGCTTGGCATAAATAGACCTTGGAAAAATTAGAGAGAACTTAAGTGTGAGAAAATAATGCAGTTTCCTAGGTTTTTCATTTAAAAAAAATAAAAGTTGAGTGACTCAAGGCTTGTAATAAATGCATTGTCGCTTTCAGTAATAATTATATCATCCATATAAAATTATGCATTGCTCCATAATTTCATTTAAGGAGAGAAATGAAAAAAAGTGGGAGGATTGAGAAAAAAACATTGCTCCTGAGTTTATTTATTGGTAAAGAGCCGAAAATTGTATATTGTATTGATCAAACATATTAGGGTTACATTAACATCTATATATAATACTAACAATTACATATTAGTACCCTCTAGTCTATATTATTGTAATTATGTCTAATACGCCCCCACAAGCTAAGGACGGGGAACGACCTGCAACTTGGATAAAAGAGATACAAATCTTGGAGTTGGCAGCGACTTTGTGAAAATATCAGCTATTTGATCATGCGTTGATATGTGTTGAACTCATAGTTCTCCTTTAGTAACATTTTCTCTAACAAAGTGAAAATCAACATCCACCTGTTTCATACGAGCATGAAAGACTGGATTAGCAGAAACGTAGGTTGCGCCAAGATTGTCACACCACAAGACGGGAGCCGAGGGACTATTAGCACTAGGTTCACGAAGAAGATCTTGAAGCTAGGTAAGCTCAGCAACTGTGTCAGCCAAGGCTTTGTATTCAGATTCTGTGGAAGATCTAGAAACAATATGTTGTTTTCGTGCGGTCCAAGAGACTAGGTTGGAACCAAGATATATAGCAAATCCCCCGTGGACCGACGGTCATCTGGGTCACCAGCCCGGATACTAAAGCAGTCAGATTGCCAGTTCCTTGCCAGTGAGAGTAAGTAAAAGCCTATAATTGGGTGTTGGAGGTTTGGCGAATTAACATGCCATAAGTAACAGTGCCATGAAGATAGCGAAGAATGCGCTTAACCGGGGACTAATGATTATCGGTTGGAGCATGCATGAACTGACACATTTTGTTTACTGTAATTGTGATATCAGGCCTGAACAATGTAACATATTGAAGGGCTCTGACGACCTGGCGATACCATACAGGGTCAGAGTAGATAGGGCTCTCATTAGTCGCCAAGGGAATGGAGGTAGTCATCGGAGATGGAGTTGGTTTTCACTCTGACAGGCCAGCTTTTGTAGTAGTTCCAAAATGTATTTCCGTTGAGAGAGGATGATGTCAGAACCCCTGGGAACAATTTCAATGCCCAAAAAATATGAGAGATTGCTGAGATCTTTAATAGAAAATGTGGCACTGAGTTGTGTAATAATTTTGTTGATGACAACATTTTTGTTACCCGTGATGATGATATCATCAACATAAATTAACATGTAAATAATGATGCCGATGTGGGAGTAAATGAACAAAGAGGGATCGGTGTTGGAGCCTTTGAATCCGAGAAGGTCAAGAGCTTGTGTAAGTCGTTGAAACCAAGCTCTAGAAGCTTGCTTAAGACCATATATCGATTTGTGAAGCAGACATACATGGTTCAGATGCTTTGGGTCAATGAAGCCTGGTGGATGCTTCATGTACAAAGTTTCAGTGAGTGTGCCATGCAGGAAGGCATTCTGAACATCAAGATGTCGAAGGGACCATTTTTAGGTAATGACAAGAGAGATTACCACTCGAATGGTTGTAGATTTGACCACATGGCTGAAAATCTCGTGATAATCTATGCCCAGTTGTTGGCGAAAACCTTTTGCAACAAATCTTGTTTTGTAGCGAGTAACAACTCCATCCTTGTCTCGCTTTAACCTGTAAAACCACTTGCAATAAATAATGTTAATATTGGGTACTGGAGGTACCAGTGACCAGGTGCCATTTTTTTGTAATATGGAGTACTCGTCTTCCATGGCTTTGCGCCATTCAGGATATTTATTGGCAACAGAGAAGGATGTCAGTTCAGTAATGGAGGTGGTGGTGTGATGAGCACTCGGTCGAAATGGAACCTTTTTTTTTCGGGTTTTGGCGAAGGTGGGAGGGACGAGTACAAGGTGTAGGTGCTGATATAGGTTTAGGTATGGGTGTAGGTGATGGTGAGGGTGAAGGTGGTGACTGTTGGGAGATAGGGATCGTGGATGGATGGGGTGAACTCGAGGGTTGGGTGTCGGGTGAGTAAGGTTTAATATGATTCTTCGCATGAGGAAAAGAAGATTCATCAAAGCGTACATGACGAGCTATATAAATCCGATAGGAATATAAGTCAAGGCATCTGTAGCCATGATGAAATGGGCTATAGCCAAGAAAGAGATAGGGAGTAGAGCGAAAATCCATTTTGTGAGGATTATAGGGTCGTAGGTAAGGAAAGCACAAACAACCGAAGACTCTAAGGAACGAGTAATCAGTTGGGCGTTTAAAAACATGTTGGAATGGAGACTCGTTGTGGGAGGTGCGAGAAGGCATCCAATTGATGAGGTAAACGTTTTTTTCAAAGGAAAAATGTCAAAAATGTTGAGGAGTGTTGGATCGTGCCACTAATGTAAGACCTGTCTCGACGACATGTCGGTGTCGTCGCTCAACAAAGCCATTTTGAGCACTAGTATGGGGGCATAATCGTTGATGAACAATGTCGAGTGATGTAAGGAAAGAAGAGGTGTTGCAAAATTCACCACCCCAATCAGTTTGAACTTTCTTTAATTTTGTAGAAAATTGTCGTTCAACTGTGGTGACAAAGGTTTTGAAAAGATTGTAAACATTAGATTTTTGAGACATTGGAAAGAGCCAAATATATCTAGTATGATGATCAACACACAATAAAAAGTAATGATGGCCATCTAATGAAAGAACAGGAGCGGGACCCCAAACATCACAATAAACAAGATCTAATATATTATTGCTTCGAAAAGAAGAGACATGTAAAGATAGTTTTGATGATTTGCCTAGTTGACATGAAGAACATAAACTTGGTAAAGTTTTATTTGTAACAGGTTGCGAAAAACTAGAAAGCATAAATTGAAAGAGATGTTGGTGTGGATGCGCAAGTTGTCTATGCCAAGTTGTGGAAGATGTACGAGTTGCAGAGAAAACTTGGTGAGGAGTGGATCGAAGTTGTGGCAGACGAAAGGAATAGAGACCTTGCTTACTGGGGCCCGTGATAAGTATAGTGCGTGCAAGCTCGTCCTTAACAAGAAACAAGTAGAGTTAAATTCAAAGAAGACATTATTGTCAATGCAAAATTGTTGGACAGAAAGTAGATGTTTTGTAATGTTGGGTACATGATGAATTTTTGAGAGATGAAACGTTTTATTTGGTGAGTGAAAGCGAGATGAACCAATAGGAAGAATAGGGAGTCCCTTACCATCACCGACATTAAGGTTGTCATGGCCATGATATGCGCGATTGTCATCCATTCTTGCTAGATCCAACATGACATGGCTGTTGGCACCGATGTCGGGATGCCAAGTGGCTGATGTGGATGGTATGGAGGCAGAGCTGTCAACAAAGTTGGTTGTGGGCCTGTTGCAGATTGTGGAGGGATCACGGTTAGGGCATTGAGATGGTAAGTGACCAATACCACAATGGTTGCATGTGCGAAAAACAATATTCTGGTTGGAGGCCCAGCTAAAGGAGCGAGTAATATCACCACGATTGTTGTTACTACAACTGTTGTTGTTGCTATGGTAAGAGCCATGTCGCCCTCGGTTGTTTCCACGGTTGTAGGTGGGGGCTGTCGAGAACCATATAAAGCTTGAGATGTGGCTGGTAGTGTGCTTGAGGGCGAGATTGGTTGAAGTTGGAGACCAAGAGCAGAAGCTATCGGTCCTAGATGAGTAGTGAGAGAAGCCATCAAATCATTGGTGTGTTTGGTGGGTTCTTGAGTGGCGTGATAGGCTTGAATAGAAGGCTTCCAGGATTTTGCAATCATAAAGTCATGATCACTTAACAATGCATGAAGTTCAGCGAA